GGAGTGTAAACGCTTCGCCTATGAGAAAAAGGAGCAGTGCATGAACCAGAGGTGGGGATTCAAGTTTGTGACTCGTACTCGAGTCTCACTTAAGTCGCATATTTAATGACTTCAGACTCGACTTAGACAGACTCAACCGAGACTCGCAGTTTCCAACCTGTGAACAATATTTTTTTTAAGCGTTTTTTGTTTTACTAATTTGACTGATCGCCGCTCGCCTTACCCGCACACAACAGAGGTAAAAAAATAAAAACAAACAGCAAAGGGGATGTAAAACAGTCATGTAGCACTGACTTCACTGACCAGTTCAAGATAATGATCATTCCATAGATATAATAGTGACCTTTAAGCTATACCGCCTCAGTGAAGGAGGTGAAAACACAAGGAGAAACAAGCAAGCATGCAAATAGACTTGAGACTTGCAAAAAATGACTTGTGAACATGTCTGGCATGAAGCGAACGCAACACACGCGAACCGAACCGAGACAGTCGAACCGAACGGTTCGGACGGTTTTCATAAACCCTTCCATCCCTACTGCATATCTCCTTTTTAACAGTCAGAGTGGGGTTTTTTTTTATCACTTTTGCCGGTAACAAAATCACGCGGGATTTCAGTTTCAGTTTAACACAAGAATTCAGCAGCAGGCACTTTAAAGGCTTTTAAAACAAATAAAACTTATATGATTTTGTACCTAATCATATTTAAATACATATTAACTTGCATGAACACCATATGAAATACAATCACTTTTGACGATACGAACAATTGTTTTAAATCAACGACTGAACTCGTCAAAGGGTTTCGTCGTACAGTGCGAGCTGTAGCTGCGTGCAATGATTGAAAAAATCGTACAGTGTATGCCCGGCTTACGATGGATAAAAACGTAGCGATCAGGTTTCAGATTAGTTTGAGTTTCAGCTGGATTCTTTACAGAAATCAAAGCAGTCCTGGCTGCTCTTCCTCCTCTGCTGCTTTGCAGGTTGCGTTGAAGATGCTTCAGCTCGTCATTGATGTTCAACTTGTTGTTTACGTATGAATCAAGTTTCACGTTAAGCCTTAAGATTAAGTTACACTTTCTAAATGTTTGAATTAACCTATGAAACATAATATTGTACCTAAAAATGATCTCATGTCTTCCTTATGAAATTTCCAGCTCTAATCAAACGCACCTATTTCCCATAATCAGGACAAAAGTAGTGTTGGAAAAAAGACAAAGTTAGCTGCATTCCACCTTCAAATGCAGGAAATAGTGAAGATGTGATACACCAAGCTGTACCCCTTATAAAATCCTCCCAGCTAAAAGCCTGCTGCCTGCACTCTGCAGGTTTTATCTGGGTTTATAAGCAGTTCTGTACTTTGGATTATATTTGCCTGTAACTGATAAGACGAATAACCAGATCTTCACAGGCTGCTGTTGTTTTGAGCTGCCACACACACAGCTTAGCGGATAGCGTATTTAGAGCCTGTAAGGAGCTGCGGTGTGTTGCACTTTAATTAAATACAGGTTGAGAGTGTTTTTCCCTAACCTGAAGCCTATGCATGATGCGGGATCAGTAAACATCATGCTGCAGGAGATGGTGGTTTGCTCCTGGCCCTGAACCTGTGCTGTTGTGATCCTGACTAATTAGCTAAAGGGATTTCCAGCTGGCTAGCACCACACGCCCTGCACTGACTGCATGAGCATGATTGGTCCGGAGCTTAAATACTGTTTGCAGATGATCTAAATGGCCGTCGTGCGGCTCGTGTGTCACATTCTCTCTGTGCTACAACTGCAGCTTGCAAACCCTTCAGACTGAAACATTTCATCTAGGCCTGCATCTAACCATTATTTTACAAATCAATCTGTCAATAATTTTTTCGATTAATTGATTTATTATTGGATAGCCAAATTATCCTCAAAAGAATTTTTTTTACAAAATTAAACCAGGTGAAAATAAAACTTTTCCAGTTGAGAAGTTGGAACGGACGAAAATTTTTTTTTTTTTTTATGTGAAATGTTTATTTTTATATATATATATATATATATATATATATATATATATATAA